TCTATCTATCTATCTATCTATCTATCTATCTATCTATCTATCTATCTATCCATCCATCCATATATAAAAAATGCTAGTAGTTTTGTATCAGGGAATTATTACTAGTTTTTTAGATGCTGCACTTTTCACTATCTCTTGATCCTATCTTTGAAACCAAAGTTAAATTATATTATGTTCAATTAATATTTTCATAATTAATCACACTCAAATAGCTTATTTTCAGAGAGCCAAATTTACTTTGAGTTTTCTATAGTTCATGGGATTTCTGCAGATATCCTCAAAATTCATTGATTCAAGATCAACTTGATCATTTCCATGATTTCAGAATAACCATTTAACAACATCTCATTTATCTGAAGTTCTGATTTTGGAGATACTATGTTTCAGTTCTGACACTGGAAACTGATGCAGGATTATTACCCCTAAGATAAAACATTCATCTTCAATAACACATTTCTTTCTTCATTTATATTTTATTTTATTTCTTATGGTTACCCTATTAAAAGCTCAAAATACTTGAAGTTAAATGCTCATTTGAGGATTCTTCTTCCTGGAAACTGTACCCTGTATTAAAGTGATTTTCTCCCAAAAACCAAAAAGGAAAAAATGAAATATACGTATATAAAGTTTTATCTGCTGTTGATTAAAAAAATGGATTTATTACAGATACAACACATGTATCGTTGTGCCCGGGTTCAAGGACTAGACACCAGTGAGGGGCTTCTTCTCTTTGGTAAAGAGCACTTTTATGTGATTGATGGATTTACCATGACTGCCACGCGAGAAATACGGGACATTGAGACCCTGCCTCCAAAGTGAGTTAGGCTTTACAATATTTGACAATGCAAGAGCAACATATTAATTTGATATGTGAAAACTTATATGTAAAAATGTACAAAATCTGCTCCTAATTCCAGTCATGGTACGATGAGATAAATAATGCTGAAAATATGATGAAAAAGATAATTCAGATGAATGCACAAAATGAAGAAAGATTTACAGAAGATCATTCTAGATTGATAATTTCACTCACACCTTTCATCTTACTCTCAATTGCTATAGTATGCATGAGCCTATTATACCCCGAGGAGCAAGGCAAGGTCCAAGTCAACTCAAAAGAACATGCAGTATTTTTGCGTATGAAGATATCAAAGAAGTGCATAAGAGAAGATACTTGTTGCAGGTGATGTATGTTATGTTTATGCAAAGATGCACTTGTCTGATACTTGATAAAAGAACTGAAAGCACCCTGTTTAATGGGGGAATGACATCTTATACATAGGACTGCATATAGGTATTTTTTGTCTATGTTTCATTCACGCGAAGAGAAGACTATACATTAATTTCTCAGCCAAGTAAGAATGTCAGCTACTTGGAACACTTTTTGAAATCTTCCATTGTATCTGTATCTTCCATTGCAGCCAATTGCTGTTGAAGTATTCTCAGGTGATGGACGCAACTACCTCCTGGCTTTTCAAAAAGGAGTGAGAAATAAAGTCTATCAAAGGTACTGTAAATCGTTTCTCAATTGAGTATCTACTGTAGCTAATGTATAGTGGGTGATAATGTTAAACTGTAACATTTATTTAATTGAGTTCTATTGATTAGTTGGCTTTTTTTTTTTAACTTTGAAGTTCTTGTAATCAAGAAAACGATTTACTATGTGCAGTCAGACAAGTGTGTATAGTCCAGTACAGTCAACCTGTTGTCATGGGCTACAATATAACTGTCTCCTCTGAAACAGATTTTCCCTGCAGAAAAACTGGGCCTTGCTGAAGAGTCAAAGAAGAATGAACAAACATTAAATGATAAGATTTCGTCATGTCAAAAAGAAGTCTTTTAATTTTTTTTTTAATTTACACTGAATAGTGCACGTTTTCCCTTCTTAAGCATTAATTAAGCAAGTAAATTTGTATTAAAAATGGAAATAATGATTTTATTAATTTACCAGTTTGGCAAATGCTACCGTCTGGTTCTAATTGGAATGCATAGTTTGCTAATTGCATCGCTTTCTTAATTTTTAAAAAGGTTTTTGGCTGTAGTTCCATCTTTAACTGACAGCTCAGAGTCAGTATCTGGACAACGACCCAATACCAGCGTAGAACAAGGGTAATCATTTATATTCTCTACTTCTCTAATACAACTCTAAGCTCAATTATAAGCAAACCTCATCACACATTGGCATGGAGTTAAAAAAAAAAAAAAAAAGTATTAAGTCAAATTACAATTTCCTGTTTTTCATCCAAACCAGGAAACTAATATCAATAGTACATTGAAGCACATGTCAGCCTATATTAAGTCAAGATATAATTGTCAGAACATAGTTGATATTATTGTGACTCAACTTTAAATATAATATTTAAGAAAATAAATATCTGAATTTCACCACCCTTCCTTAGTCTAATGTGTATTGTCCTAAGTGTATGTAAATAAAGCGAATTTGAGGAATTTTTTTAAGAAGCAGAAATAATTCATAAAGTAGTAATTTTCAACTATAGTGGATTCCTTTTTTATATTGTTCAATTCCCAGAAAAGTAATAGGACATTTTTTCTTAAATATTCACCAGATCAAACTACACTTACTGGCCACATCTATATACTGATCATTTTCCTATGAGTCAGAAGTGTAAACATGAAATTATACCATGTCTTCTTCAGTAGCTCTTTTAAAATGGATAAAACTGAGACTTTCCCAAGACATCCAATGAGATTTGGATTTTGAAACTAGGGACTAGGGATTTTTCCATATTTTAGCATCAATAAAGTTAATCAAACTAACTCTGAACAAAATTAATGTAAAACCCAAATTTTAATGAGTCATCCATGAATCCAGTGACACTTCTGGATTTGAATGATGGCCTGTGAAACTAAGCTTTTGTATTAACAGTAAAACAATATAGTTTAAAATATAAAGGAATAGTTTGTTCCTTGTAATTTTAGCACTACTGACTTTTTAACACGATTAATTCAATGGGTTAACTCTTTCCTCATTAGATCTGGCTTGCTGAGCACTCTGGTAGGGGAGAAATCTGTTACCCAAAGATGGGAGGTAAGCATAAATAGATCTGTTGCATTTTTATATTTGGAGTGAAACAGTATTGAAAACATAATCTTTGTTTTGTTTTCATGTTATATAAAGGAGTACACAAATAGACATTTTGAAGTTTTGTAATTGACAGATGAATTCAGTTCTTCTCTCTCTCTCTCTCTCTATCTCTATGAAGAGAGGTGAAATCAGTAATTTCCAGTACCTGATGCACTTAAACACTTTGGCGGGTCGATCCTATAATGATCTTATGCAGTATCCTGTCTTTCCATGGATCCTTGCAGACTATGATTCAGAGGTAAATGCAAACTCCAATGCATGGCAAAGTTGAAAAGAAGCCTGAAGTCCTCCATTTAAATTTACTCCTAATAAGGATTGGAAAGCCTATTTAATTATTTAATATATAATGATAGCATCTAAGTATTTGAAATGATCCTTTAGTGTCTGTTCCACTTTCTGTGAATCGCTGACAGAAAACAAGAATCAGTTGCATTGCCTTAAAATGTGGTGTTTATTCTTAATTAGTCTTCACTGTTAAAACACAGTGAATTATGAATGTTAATTAATGATGATGATTATAGTTATAATTATGTTATTAATATTGTTAATGAATGTACTAATTATCTGTTAATAGTGAGATCTTGAACTTGAGAGAGTTAGAAAACCAAATGCAATAAAGGTGCATGCCAAAGAATGACTGTAAATCCAGGATGGATTTGTGTAGCCCATCAGATATTGCTGAAATCTACCTCCCGTTATAATGAATGGCCTTAGATGGCTTTTTTCCCAAATCACATTCCGTTGACTTGCTAAGGAAATGAGGAAAAGGGTTTGCACTGTTTTTACTCAGTCGGTTGATTACTTTTCATCAACCAGTCTTCAATAGCTTGGAGTTAAATATTTTTAGAGAAAGACTTAA